CGAGGACACCGGGCTGCAGGGGCGGCGCGGGGTAAGCGTGCGGCGGCGGGGCGGGTTGCGGGGGGCGCATCGCGGGGGGAGCGGCAGCCCCTGTCGGTGGCGGGGGGCCTGGTGGCGGCAGTTGAACCGCGCCGTATTGCGGCTGCAGCGGCTGCGCGGGAGGGCGGATCGAAGGGTGCGGGGCGTGGTGCGGCATGGGGGGATGGATCGGATGGGAGGGTTGAAGCGGGGCGTGCGCTGTGCGCGGGGCAGCGGGGATGCTCGGGGCGTACATTGGAGGGCGGGGTTGTTGCGGAGGTTGGGGGCCGGGGGGTGGGGGAGGGGCCGGGCGGGGGGGGTTGTTCTGGTAGAAGCCCCCCATGACGGGAGGGAGACGTAGTTAGGGGGGCGAGGGGGAGTTGGAAGGACTGAAGGGGAGGGGGAACGAATGTTGGTGGAGGGCGGGTTGTAATGGTGGGAGCAAAGAAAGAGGCGACGAGCGCGGATGGGCCGATCGGTAGATTGGGTTCCGGTACAGAAAAAGTGACTGCGGAGCATGTAAGGGCCGGGCTTTACATCTGTAATGCGGAAGGAATTCAGGTCGGGCGGTGTCAGCATGCGTGATTGGCTCTGCGTACAAAGCCAATACCGTTTTTAGATCGAGTAATTGGATCGCGATGACGTTTCGACGTTTCACCCTTTCGACCGGAATTTCTCTCGAAAAGTCTTTTCTCGGCGACGCCTCCTGTTTACATGTGTATAAATATTACTGAAAATTAACACGCGCCCGTTCCGAGCTCCGCCTGTGCGTTTTTTTTCCTTTTTTTTTTTTTCTCGGCGAGGCCTCCAGTCTACCCTTCAAGCGATTTCTACCTGCACACAAAATTTACTGAAAATTGTCACGGGCCTGTTCCGAGCTCCCCCTGTGCGTTCGCTATTGAACGGCAAGCCCAAGACGCTCGCACCAGACACTTGTCCATTCCCCCGCCGTCACACTCCCACAATGCTCCTATCGTCCCGTCTCTGCGAATGTTAGTTAACCTACCATTCTCCACCCGTCCATGTCTTCGCGCCAACCTTTCCCCCCCCCCCCTCCACCCCCCTTTCCCCACTACCATCCCCCTCCATCACCCGACCCGACCCCACCTCTCCCCCAACCTCCCAATGTCCGCCCGTGTCGTCCCCGGCTGGCCCTGGTGGCAGCGTCTCAACCTCATCTTCTTCACCTTCGCCGGCGGCTACACCGGCTTCCATCTGCAGCACCGCTACCACCAATCGCACAAGGAGCATCTCCGCGACCTGGCTCTACCTGCGCTGGAGCGCGATCTCGCCGCGGCCGTGGTGCAGCGGGAGAAGCTTGAGCACCAGCTGCTCACGCTGACCAACGCGTCGCACCCGCTGCTGCCGTCGCCGTCGCCCTAGGCTCTCACAGCGCGTACCGCGCTCTCTCGTACGTCTCCCACGTCGCGCGCGCGCTCTCGCCCGCCCTGGCCCCGTGCACCACCCCCGTGTGCCCCACCACCGCCTCCACCTCCTCCCGCGTTGCCCCCGCGTGCAGTGCGCCGCGCAGGTGGCTCGCCAGCTGCGTCGCCGCGCACACGTCGCCGCACAGCATCGCCACCGCCGCCAGCTCCCGCTCCCGCAGCGTCATCGTCTCCCCGTCCCCGGCCGTGTCCACCGAGAACATCGCCCCGTAGACGTGGGACACGATCCAGGACTCTAACCGAGGGTGGAACGTCGCCAGACGAGATCGCACACGGGAGGTATTGCGCCCGTACACAGTGCTGAAGGTCTCGGAGCCACGTTCATAGAGCCACGATACTCGCACGTCCTCGTTTCTTGGCAGGTTGGGGGAGTCTTCGATAGGAGCGTATGAGCCCACGATGCCCGATGTCTGCAATGCTGCCGCCGAATGCAAGGCTCGGGGAATGCCCACTAGTGGTGCTGCTTGCAGAATGCACAGTTCGTACGCTTTGCCCCGGTGCTTGCCGTCGATGTATTGGAAGGCTCCCACCGCCGCGGAGGCATCGCCGGCGGCCACGTGCCCGGCGGCGAGCAGGATCGTCCGCAGCTGCGTGCTGAGGGTTGATGGCGCGCTCAACTTGGATAGCAAGGGGTAGAGCTTCATCGCGGATCGGGACAAAGCGGGTGGTTGTTTTGATGGCGGCCGTTCATGGATGCTTTTTCATGCCCGTCTCTGCATTGGCGCGCAGGGGTCTTGTTGCGAAGCACGTGACGAGGGTGCGAGGTGACAGCCTGCAAATCAGTTGGAAACCTTTTCTGGGATTAATCAAAATATATTCCCACAGTTATGATGTGATTCATGGCGTGGAAAATGACCGTTTGGGAATTCGAGAGATGAGACAACGAATGCCGTATGTTGCCCTCTGCCTGACCCCCCACGATAGGTTCCCCATGATCTTAGATAAATAATACCCGTATTCGTGTATTGTGAACATCAGTTATGCCCTTGCCATGCCATGCATGTTTTGTCCCCGTCCAGGGCGTCTGCTTCACAGTAAGTACAGTAAGTACACTTGCAGTCGCGAGAGTTTGCACATGCTTCCCACTTACAAACACGTTTGGAAGCAAACTGCAGTCTGTTGCAGAAAATGTTTGGGCCTGTGAACGGCTTCACTCCCGGGCATGCCTCTTCAATTGCCGAGGTGAGGTAAGGCCGACTCTCAAACAACTTGCGGCGGCCATTCCCCAAGTCATTGTACAGACGCACATACATGAAAATAGTTTACTCATACGAAGTGTCTCGAAAATCTAGATCGTTTTGTCCACCACCCCGACACTCGCGGCCCCCCCAGAGACGACCTGTCTCCTCCCAGCTTCTACAGACCCCGGGCAGCGGCGCGTCGGTTCGGGTGGCAAAGTGCTCCCTTAGGTCGGTTAGCAAATCTAATTGTCAACAGCCTGCGGTCCGTGGGGAATCCCTATCGCCCGCGGCACGTGGGCAAAGCTAGTTTGGTGCAGCGCCGTGACGCGCGACACGACCGCGTCGAGCCCATATCGGTACAAAAGGCGGAGGGGATGGAGCAGCTTGTGCGCCAGGCCCGGGTGCATGACGTCCGTGTAGCTGGACACCATGACGCCATCGACGACAAGGTCACCGTGCACGGACGTCGGGGCGTACAGGCCGCGCAGCTGCTGGCGCTTGACGTTAAGCACGAACAGGTCGTACTCGCCGTCCGCGCCGCGTAACCGGTCGCCGGGGCGCACCGAGCGGGCCGTGCGCAGCTTGCCGTCGACGTAGAGATAGTGGCCAGGGGAGAGGCGGAGCGGGGTCTGCGAGCCGGCGTGGTGGATGGAGACAAACTCGGAGACCGGGTGGGGGCTGCGATGGCCGAAAAAGAAGACGTCCGAATGCGAGCCATCGCCGACGGCGACCTTGTCCGCGTACTGCAAGTCCTCCATGCGGACGACCAGGCCATCGGGGCGCGACACGGTGGCGTCCGCGGGGAAGCAGGTGAGCGGGGCCGAGACGTTAACGTTGCTCCTGCCGGCGGGGCACTCGCCCGACGGCTGCGAGACGTTGCACATGCAGTCGAGCGAGATGCAGACGCGCGAGCAGCAGTAGCCGTCGATGAACTCCTGCTCGCGGAACTGGGCGCCGGCGAAGCGCGGCTGAGTGGCGTTGAAGTTCTCGATGTAGACGGTCTCGAAGATGGCGTCGGTGAAGTCGGCCTTGCCGACGATGGTGGTATTGGCGAGGACGCGGCGGTTGATGTAGGTGTTGGAAAAGTCTAGGACGAGCTTCTCCTTAGTGTTGGACTCCATGTTAACCTCGTCCCAGTACAGGTCGAGGATCTGGGAGTTGGAAAAGTCTGCGTTGCGGTTGAAGGTGACGTTGCCCATGAAGAAGCCGTTCCACGTGGTCTCGTCGCACATGACGTTGTCGGAAAAGGTGACGGCCTGGAAGGCGGTGTCGTTGTACTCGCTGCGGTACTTGATCTCCAGCACGTTGCGCTTCCTCTCCGGGACGCTGTGGCACCAAAACTCGTTGATGGTGGAGTCATTGAAGGCGAGATCGGCGGCGGACACGCCCTCGAAGCGAAAAGGGTTGACGACGTTGCTGTCGATGAGGAGCATATCTCTGAGGACGAGGGAGCGGAAGCGCAGGGCGTCATCGCCCGACTTTGTCTTGTGGCTCTCAGAGCGCTGGAACTGACAGTCCTTGAAGGCGACGGTATTAATCTCGCCGAGCTCAAAGGTGGTATCGGCCTGAAACTTGCAGCCCTCAAAGGTGACGTTATTGAACTTGAACTTGCTGAAGGTGATATCGACGGTGTTGTGGAAGGTGCAGTCCTTGAAGAGGACGTTGGACATCTCGAACTCGTCGAAGATCATGGGCTGATCGGTGTAGGAGCCGAAGCGGCAGTCGCGGAACTCGACGTCGTTCCAGTTTGTGCGGGTGAAGTTGGAGGTCTTCTGGTCGGTGTTCTGGAATGCGCAGCCGTCGAAGAGGGTGTCGGAGATGGTGGATTCCGTGAAGGTCCACGCGTGGGTCTCGTCCTTGAACTCGTGCTCCTGGATGCACAGGTTGAAAAAGTTGCCCTCCTTGATGGACGGGTGGTCCGCGGGGCCCTCGCACGTGTCCCACAGAATGTCGGCGACGGCGGCCGCGACCAGCGCGTCCTTCCAAGCACA